AGATGAGAAGCATTTTTTTTGTTGTTGTTTTCGTGCGCCGCCGCTGTGTGGTCATGAGGATGGAAACACCGCGGGGTGCCTCATGCTGTCAAAGGACTTTGGAATACACGATAAATCAAATGATATTTATTTACTCAACTCGTTCCTATTCTTTCGACTTCAACAATATCCTGAACCCCAATTCTCAGACTCTGCACCAACTGTTACGTCTGCTCCCACTCCAGATTACGGGGTGCGGTCCGGGAGTTTTTTTTTTTTTTTGGTAATCCCCAATTAGAAGAGTTACACTGATCCAACAACAAAGAGATTAATAAAAGATCTCTTCAACAAAAGACAAGTTATAAAAAAAAGTGGAGCAGGTCCATGTTCGCTTACGGATTTCTAATACAAGAGTTTGGCAATGAAATTGTCAGTATTGAGCGCACACTGTTGGCAGTAGCAGTAGGGCCGCGCTCAATCCATACCCTTAAAAACAGTGACTATGAAGTGCCTCACAAGTTTGGGTGTTCGAGGTCATCGAGCCTGCAGTGAGACGCTCAGAGAGCCCCACTTACACGGAAAAAACTTTGGCACAAGAAACAAGGAAATGTGAGTCAGGTTGTTTTATACACATCCCCCCCGAATGATAACTTAAATGTGTGGAAGACTTGCAGGAGCTGGTTTGTATTTTCCATCTTTGAGATAACTGCCTGGTCACTGATTCGTGAGCGGACACAAGTGAGCACATACCAGGCACTTGAGTGTCCTTTGTTTGAGCGGCTGGATCGGTCAGTGAGGGAACTTCTGGACTAAGCCGAGTAAACATCTGCACTTTTCTATTTCTCAGATTAAACCCCCCCCCCCCAAAAGAAACGTGTTTTTTTTAAGTGCAGCAGCGTGCAGGTGTAAGTCAATAAACCGAAACCGTGTCAAGGAACAAGAGCCTCAAAATATAATCTAAATGTGGGAAAAGCTACCAAGTGTCAAAAATACATCAAGAAAGCCTTCTTCATTTGTACCCTGTATACACACAATCCAGAACCCTGCGCTGAAAAGTTTGTTCATTGCAACACCGTGTCAAGAGGACGTCTTCTTTTTTTTTCTTTCTTTTTTAATTTTTTTACACAAACACGTCCTGATTCAATTTACAGTTTCCCCTCGTGTCGCAGCATGGTCAAACTCTCCCTCAGCAGCTCTGGATACAGTCAAAACCAGCCTTAAATTAGGACTTACACTACCTTTAAAAAACCCCCCCAAAAAAAAACACTTAAAAAAAAAAAAAAAAGTTCCCTCATAATTCGAGGAACTTGTTTTTTGGCCCAGTGGCTGTCAAGTGAAGGCGTGTTTTTTTTTTTAATCAGCACAATGTCTGATTTTAGGGTTTCTACTTGCTGCGGATTATCTCTTGAATTGTTGTCAGACTTTGTCTTGTTTTTGGCGATTACTTTTTTACAGCAGCAGAGTTTTTTTAAATGGAACAAATGAGAGAGAGAGAGAGAGAGTAATGAGTGTGAGCAGGAACGGCACTGTGTCATAGTTAAGTCTAAAGAAAAAAACAAGAGAGCGAGAGAGCAGAAGAAGTAGTCACACCTTCAGGGAATCCACATCTACATTATCTAAATAATGATAAGAGGGATGCTGTTTCAGCCCAGATAACAGCTCTGATGAGGTAACGTCATCATTTTCATGTTTGTCTTTTAGGTTTGAGATACTGCAAGTAAGGAAGAGCACATGTTTGTCTGATAGGACTCCAGAGGTCCAGTAAAATCAGTGGGCAAATTATTCTATATACATGACACTTGCAACAGTGTTCATTTGTTCTTGTTGTTTGATCGGGGATTTTTACAACACAAGAATGTCATTAAAAACTAGATTTATCAATAAATGTCCTCTGATTATATCATCTGCACTCAACTTTCACACAAAGCAAGTGGCTGCTTGATCGTGGACACGGGTAAAGAAAATGGACACCAGGGTTTGAAGTGGAAACATCTCAGGGTGTGAAGGTTTTTTTTTGTTTTTTTTTTGCTTTGTTTGTTGTTGTTGTTTTGTTTTTTTTGGCTAAACCTCAACTTGACAACGCCAAACAAAAGAGTAAGTGAGTGCTTACATTGTGGCTGAAGTGTTAGGCACTGCAAAAGAAAGAAAGAAAATAAAAGACAACAAAATACTTTTTTTTTTTTGTCTTATAAACACAGTAAGGCAATTTGATTATGGCTGACTGATAGCAGTAAGAGTTTCCGGTCTGTCGTCTGTAAAGTTCAACATATTCACAATTTGGACTCAGGAGAGAAACAACACCTTTGTTTTTTTTTCTGTGTTCACAACCCATTTTCAGATTATCTGTGTAAAAACAGCTACAATCAAAAATGAGGCACTTTATAAAAGAGTATATAGATTTCTAGGCTATGTAGTTCTTCATCATTATATGTATACTGTATATTTGATATAGCATTGTAATGTGTCACTTTATGAACTTTATTGTTCACTGAAAACAGACTACAGTATATGTACTATAGTTTCTGTTGTTCTACAAGTATACTGTCATGTATACTGTATTATCATGTACAGGTAGAATAAAAAAGATCAGCTGCCCAAAAGCATTTACACTCTGACAACACTTTCATCAGAAGTGTGCTGCTACGTTATTGGTTCAAACCGCATCAAAGTCACATTTCATGTGTAAGCCATCAACTCAAAGGGCCCTCACATTTTATTTAAACTAAAATTAAATGAAAAAGAGAGTTTAAAAATGTTTTCAATTCAAACGGGATAACATGTTTCTTTTTGTGTGTTTACTTTAATAATAATGAAATCATCATCAGCTGCATGGATGAATGTCTTCACATGTTAGGTTACAGTTAGGGACTGTACTATTTCATGTTTTTGTTCTTTGTTGGGGAGTATTTTCTTGGAGAGCTCGGGATTAACTTTAACTTTTTCGTCCTTGTCCACCTCTAACATGTATTAATGGTCGACTGTATTTCTCCCATGATGCAAGTTTTCATTTCCATATTTGACGCAGTTTGAAACAGCTGTCCCCAACAGGACCGGTCATGGGACTCAAGTATTTTGTCAGTGATTTAACATCATGTGCCACGCTTCGGCTTTATCTGATCAACGGTTTTTAAATGGTAAAATGTGCTCAGAGGAGAAGTCAGGAAACTGCTGAACGTGGTGGTTCAAATATCTACCAGGTAGCTTCCTGTTTAAAAAAAAAAAAAAGTATTCACTATTTTGTACAGAAGCGTTTTACAATCACTTGTGAAAATGAAGTCTGCAGTTTTTCTGAATTAATGACATGACTATATTTTTAAACATGTTAATCCTGAATTAACACTTAAATCATCGTAGCATCAAATTGACGACTTAACCATCTCGTTAATTCAGAAAAAAAGGCGATTAATCGTTTTTACGTGAATGCAGTTTTTTCCATGTTTGCAATAAAAACAATCTTTTCTTTTTCTTTTTTTGGAAATAAAAGTTTTCATTTAATGTAAACTGCTCAGTTTAGTTTGAACACTGAGACCGATCATTTCTCCACAGCCCACAAATGTTATTTCTTTTCTAAACTGCAGTATTCAGCTTCCCTCACTTACAAGCCAACGAGTCTGTTATCAGGTCCCTTCAGCGCCTCTCACTGAGGACATTTACATACAGAGTCTAATTATTCTCCTTATTGCCTGTTGTAGACATTTAGATTATGCTGTTTACATGCATAGTGCAGGAATGTTTCGGTAATTTGGTCATTTTTATGCGATGTTGCGTTCAGTCATGATCGCATAAATGCACATTATGTATCTGTACGCTTGATCATGTGACATCATTTCTCCGACTGGTGTCATGTTGTATTTCAGCTACGGTTTTCATGTGGCATTTTATGCAGCATCGTAGCTGCAGCTCAGACAATTAGTATGACTATTTCATCTGTTATTTTAAAATGCAAAATAGTGAAGAAAGAATTCATATCTACCGTAAGAGTAGATTCATTTTTCATCAAACCTTGAGGTGAGTTCTCCTAAAGCGTCACTGACTCGGCTTTCTTTCAGGCTCAGTTTGAGAAGCAGCCCGTGGACACGACAGGACATGTTTAGTTTGTAGATAATCAAAGCGGGGGACTGTGTAAACATATTTCCTGTGTGAGTGCACATCTGGAGCTTTAGGGATTACACATCATTCTGAGAGGAAAAACACAGAATTACAATATGACCATTTTGAGAGGATGAAAAGTAAAAGCTTCTGTTCTCATGGCTCAGCTATACGACCCAAAGATAAACTGGGAGCACAGAAAGCATCTGAAAATGAAATTGTAATCAAATCGCCTGATATCCAATTTAATACGGTTTAGGCTCCCGTGGATTTCACAAGGATTGCGTATAATGTGTTTTCTCACAATCGTTTTGTCCCCGTGTGACCGGAAAAACATCAAATCTAACTTGACACATATGACGTAACTTATTTTAAAAGTTCATAATTTAGCATTGGTTTTAGTATTTTTTAAGTTTCCTAGTAGCACAAGAAACGTTGTCAGAAAGACTAAAGGCTTTTGGGCAACTGTTTATAATAAATCAAATATGTTTACAGTGACAGCATGTATGAGTGTATGCAACCTTCAAAGCCGTATATCATTCTTATTTTGGCCCAAAATGACCCCTGATGAGCAATTAACTTGTACAGTATGGACAAAAGATGACTTGAGGATGAGGTGAACCGTAAACACTAAGCATTAAATGTCGCTGTAGGAGCAGCTGAGTCTTAATTTATGAGAGTTCAAAAGATTAGATAAGATCAATTCAAACAACACTGATAGACTTTATTTGACCTTTGTCCAATTCCCTGAAAGCCTTGTTAATTTATACCTTCACCTGTTTGACTGTTTGTGTTGCTGAGTTCAGGCGAATCAAGAAAAATGAAGATTTAGTGATTGACTCCATGGCAACGAGCGTCACACACAATCACAAATCATCTTTTGTCCATACTGCGCTTAAACGATGATCAGAAGTCATTTCTATTCAAAGCCAGACAAAAACAGAATCTTTTTCTTACCCCTCGTGTGGGTTTGTTTGTGTGTGTGTCTGTGTTAGTGTGTGTGTGTTTGTGTGTGTTTGGCACACGTTTGGTTGAGAGAAAACAGCAGACGGGGGATGGGATGAGTTTTCCAGGGTTTCCAGTGTTCAGACTTCAGTGAACAGTTCTGTTGTGGCAACAGAGCGGGCCGTCCCCTCACAGAGCGAGCGTGGAGAGATCAACAATCTGGAGGAAAAAGACACAGAAGAAGGCAGGAGTTGAAATCATTATATTTGACGGAGGGGTTTCTTTTTTCTTCTTCTGTGTTTTATAAGCGGTTAATAATTATTGTAGTTTACTTCATATTTCACAGTGAATCTAGCCTCAGTCTCCCCGAAACAAAACCTTGACAAAGTAACGCAGTTCAAACTCGATTCAATGTCCTTTAAACTCATTTATCGAATGGAAAGCTCCTGCTGCAGGCTGCTTGTGTAAATATCTCATGATGATGAGCGTTATCTTCCTGAATTGGATCCTCTGATGCACACAGTTTTAGATGTCAACAGTTTGTGTTGTCTTTGCGTCAAGACTTATCAGTTTGAAGGGATTGTTTGAATTCTTCTTCCAGTCTGCCACCTCAACAACACAGAGAGGTCGCTGCTACAAAGGTTGCTTTTTCTCTCTGGAGGAGACACAAGAGAGGAGTTGTTTGATGATATAACTTAATCAGGGAACGACTGTTTGGACACTGAGGGTAAGCGTAGACAGGAGAGCTGATAAATCAGCCTGTTGTTGGAGCACATCTGAGACAGTATGAGCGCTCGCCTGACGCACTTTCAGGGTCAAATGATTACCCGCGAAACAAAAACCAACAGATATTTACACAATATTCACTTGTACAGGCGGCAGTAGCTCAGTCTGTAGGGACTTGGGTTGGGAACAGGAGGGTCACTGATTAAAGTCCCGGTGTGGACCTAGTAGAGGTGGGGTAAAAAATGTATACAGTACAGTATCAGGATATTTTGTGTGGCGATATTATATCGTCTCACGGCGGCCAAGAATCCATTCATGTTAAAGTTCAATTAGACTGAAATACAAATAAAAAGACTGAAGTGAGAGGAACAGACTGAGAATTTTATCTTATTTGACAAAACAGTTCTTGATTTACTTAATCGTAGTATATTGTATCGCAATTCTCAGCACTTTGCAAAATGTTAAAAATCACATTAGAATCGTATCCTGTCTCGAGTATCGCGATAATATCGTATCGTGGGGACTCGGGTGATTCCTAGGACACAGCCTGGGAATTGGTCTGGTAGCTAGAGAGGTGCCAGTTTTACTTCTTGAGCACTGCTGAAGTCCAGATATCCATTTTGACAGTTTCTTACTGTCTTCCCTTACGTCGCAGACTCACTCCTCACAACTGTTCACTTCTGACTCTTTGTGTTTCTCCGAGTGAATCAATTACAGACAGGCTAATTAAGAACAGCAAACAGTCAGCAGGATTTAACTTCTTGTATCTCTAAATCAGACTTTGTGCTCAGGCAGTCAAATAATCATCTTTCAGTGTCAGCTACAAATAAGCCTGTTAATCTAATTCTTACGCTCATGTTACTTCAGCGTCTCTACTGGAAGTGTAATCTTAAATAGTTGTGGTTATGTGATAGCCGCAGAATCGTTGGAGTCTGTTTATTTGAGCGTGTACACACAGCAGTGCCGTCCCTGTAAGATTCATACACTGACTTCAGTTGTTATAATATTGCTGCTGAGATGAACAGCGTTTGCAGCCAATGGAAGGAGTCAAACTCGACCGCTAATCGACGTCGAAATAAATGAAATGAAAGAGTAATTTACGGAACATAACGGAGTGAAATGCATAAATAAGCTACCCGCCGATGAAATAATAAGGGAATTGTTGTGATTATACACACACAGATTGAAAAGCATTAGCATATCAATCATGTAAATGTTGTAGCCGCTCTGAATAAATAAATAAGGTGCACAAGTTGTTTGTTCCATTTAGTCGTGTGATTAGTATTTAAATTAACCTGCTTATCTACATTTTTACACTGTTTTATTTCTTACGCACTTCCATGTAAATCCATTAAAAACGCACTCCAGTCGACAATATTAACCACCAAATAAAGGTGCAATAAGGGAACCCTCGGAGCCTACAGCCGACAGCACACCCACACATGAACATAAACACCTTGCCTGTGTTCTGTCCCCTTCTACCTCCGTTTATGTGAAATGGCTCATTACCAGCAGACAAATCAATTGGCTTTGCTCTCTGAACACCCACTTGTGATAATAAGAGACTCTACAGAAATCCCACAGCTGAAACACGGTGCTGCCCTCCAGCTTGAAGCGAAGGTACACATCAGTAAAAGGGATGGAAAAAAAAGGAGAGTGAAAAGGAGCCACTAAGACCCAGACAGGAGTTTTGTCTGTGGATTATGCACATCACGTTAAAAGCTTACATGCAGCTAACAAGCGGTGATTATAGAGTTGTTTCATACACATGAGATATTCTACTCTCACTTGTTTTTCTAAATGAGTGACGATATGCAACGTGTGATTATTGACATGAGCAGTTCACCAGCGGTTCATCTTCTTGATTCAGCTCGGATTTTTTTCTTTTCTTTTTTTTATCAGATTTTCTCAGAGTTAGGGAAATCATACAGCTTCACAGTCCACAAACAAATCATCATTAAGGACTGAGAAAGTTACATATATACAGTTCCAGTCAAAAGTTTGGACACACCTGATTGAAATGCATGTTATTATGTTAAAGACGTTTTGATCTAAAGGCTTATGCTTAAATGTTTGACATGAGTTTCTTTTTATATAGAAATAGAAATAGTGAATAGTCTGATGCCTACGTATGTATGCATTTCTTTCCAAAACAAAAATTATTGTTTTAATATCTATTATTATTCTAAAATGTGGAAAATAGTAAAATAAAGAAAGAAAGTAGGTGTGCCCTAGATACAGCTTACAGTAGTTTTATTATAATAATATAATACACTGTTATATAGTGTTACTGTTGTGTGTCCAAACATTTAACCGGTGGTGTATATGTATTTGGAACAGCACAATTCTTGCTTAAATAAGAGTGAAACATTAAATCATGATCACAGGATGGCAGATTGTTGATTGTTCTCGTGTTTGTTTCAGTTCTAATGACAATCCATTACATTGTAAAAAAAAACGTGAATATTATCAGCATGTTTTGCATTGAACAAATTTGAACATATAAAAAACAAGGGCTGCAACTAATAATTGATTTAATTGTCTTTTCTCTTTATTTCTCTAAGGTGAAGTCTTTCATTCCCTGTCCATCCAATCATCAGAGGAAGAGCAGAAGACATGTTTATGACAGAAATAAAAGTCAAGGAAAAGAAGATATTGTTGCAGTGCTTCTGAGAATTAACTTGTTCTAGACAAAGAAATGCCGCCAAAATGTTTGCCATGGTAACTTAAATGTCAAACAATCAGTTTAGCCTTGTAAAGAGGCAAATATAAGACACTTGAGTTCTGTTTGCTTGGAGACGACCAGTGTGTTTTTAACTCCTCACGATCACATATCCTTTTCATTTTCAATTTCAGAACTCACATCAAAATCTGTCATATTTCTGAATAAAAAATAGAAATACTTATAATAATAATAATAATAATAATAACATTATTACAGTTTTTCAAGTATTATTTGTTTGGATCCATTTTAAGTAGCCCTGTTAAAATGGTTTTTCCCTTATGCAAAACTTGTCAAAAGATGAATTATTCATTATTTTGTCACAAAAACGGGCCTCAGTCAGGTCTGACATGGTACAAAATGTTCTTCACCCACCCTTTGTATTAAAGCTGTTTAGCAGAAGTTGGTCTGCATTACCAGTTTCTCTTACCTTGACCATCTTTTCTGCCGCTCTGGTGTGCTCTCAGCTCCTCTGACTTATAGAAATCAATACTGGCATAAGTGTTGAGGCTTGAGCCAGCGCTGCTGCCCATTGCGCCTCCTCCGATGTTGTAGGCGGCGGAGGTGCGATCCACTCCTGCTTGAGGGTTCTCCTTAACGGCCAAGTCAAGGTCAATATAGTTAAGGCCTTGTTCAGCAGATGAGGTGGAGGCTTGTGGTGGAGGTGTGGCAGATAGACCAGCTGCCTGTCTGCTCTCCCACGGTGAGCAATCCAAACCGTGCCGATGGCCCGCTGCCTGGCTGCCCTCCGGGAAGAGGGAGGTAGAAGAGGGTGGGTGGCGTGGATGGGAGGGAGGGGAGCTAAAAGTCTCCGAGCGGTGGCTCTGCCGGCCCTGCTGGTCACCTCGGACCAACCTGCTGGGAGACTGGAAGGACTTGACTGGAGAAAAGCCCGAGCCCGTCTCCTGCTCCATGGATAAGGGCTGACCCGAGTGGATGGCAGGTCTCGCTGAATTGCTGGGATCTGAACCTTTGCTGTCCGTGAATGTTGGCGGGGGGTCTGTTGGCAACGCCGCCACCTTCACCTTTGTTCTGTGACCGCTATTGCCCTCCGCCGACGAAGGAGAAGACGAGCGTCGCTCATGTCGGGACTTTGGGGCAACGGCCGGTGGGCCCTGTGGGGTGCTGAACGCGGCTCTAACAGGAGTCAGTGGCACGGAGGGCTTCCCTAAGTCCATGCTGACGTACTCTGCAGAGGTGGACAAGGGTGCCGAGAAGCTGCGAGGGAGGACGCAGGGATTATCATGGTGGAGAAGCGGTTGGTTTATAGGCCTGAGCGTCCCGTGGATCACAGTTTGTCCGTGTTTAGATCCCGCGTGTCTTCCTCTGTCGTACTTGTTGTCCTCCTTGAACACAATACTCACATACTCACCAACGTTTGGAGACGCCGACGGCAGCAGGTTCTCCTTCACCCTGGGCAGAGTGTTTGCCTTGGCAATGTCTGAAGACATGCTCAGCGGGCGACCCCTCCTCTGTTGCTTCGGGCTCTTACTGCTCGAGCCGCGTTTTGGATGGTGACGCCCGTCTTTTGCGCCCGCCCCCACGCCCTTGATCTCTGCGCCGGTCCTTAATAAACTCAACCCCCTCCCTGCGGACGTGGACTTGTCTTCCAGGCTTTCACTGCTGGCCGAGCTGGAGGAGAACGAAGAGGAAGACATGGAGAGTTGGCAGCCACCTGTGGAGCCCACTAAGATTTTGTTTCTCTTGCTGTATCCCAACCCCCCTCCCCTCCCAGCGGCTTCATGCCCACCGCTGTCCTTTTTCGCCTCCCCTTTGTTCAAGTCTTCCTCGAAGCGCGTGTACAGAGTGTGCTGATATGCTCGTGGCAGGGAGAAGTAGGAGTTGAACATTTTTGGTTGGAGTTGGTGCTGTTCAGGGTGGGAGGGCGGTGTGCTGCAGGCGGAGCGGCTGCAGACGGGCGAGATGTTCATGTAGTCACTAGCGGAGCGGCTCTCCACGCTGCCCCTGCCGTCCCACATGCCCAGCCCGTGCAGGTCTGTGGAGCTGCTGCTGTTTGGAGACATGACCATGTAGCCCTCGGTGCTCGGCTGGCGGATGTGCTGAGGAGGGGACACGCTGTTGTTGGGGGTCATGGCCATGTACTCGTCATCTGCCCCGGGTTTAGCGCTGGAGTCGGACATGCCGATTGAGAGAGAGAGCGACACGGGAGGAGACGTCACTCCAGGCAACATGGACATGTAACCGGTGTCCACACCCGCTCCGGGGTCAACCTCTCCCCGGCTTTTGTCGGCCCTCTTCCTCATATCAACACCGCCCGCGAGAGCTCCCGAGCTGTGGTGCGAATCAGCTCTCCCCCGGTTAGCGCTCCGTGACATGATGGCATATTCTTCGTCATCCTCATCGTCTTCATCTTTCCTATGGGGAATCAGTCTCTCATGGGCCGCCAAAGGAAGGGAAGCCCTCTTACTCAGCAGCCTGCGTTCTGCCTCAGATTCCCTACTGGATGCACGCCTCAGAATCCGGCGACCTTTTGAGCGATGGTGGGAACCAAGGAGGCCCTCCCGCTGTCCCATTACTATGTAGCTGGAGGAGCCTTCCCCGTGGGCATGATGTCCAGAGAGGCTGGGAACGAGCAGAGAGTGTTCCCCGGGACTGGAGCCGTATTCATCTGAGGAGCCGTAGTCGCTCGGTGAACCTGAAACAGAAACTCTCTGAGAAACACGAGGATAAGAGCAGACAGTCATGCCTCCCACCGCCGCTCCCACCAGGCCACACTCGGAGCCGTGACCCGAGCTGGAGGATAGACTCGGCGCAGGGGAGGGGGCGGGGTTAGGCGTGTAACGCGCAAGGCTGAGGGTTATCTTAGCAGGGGTTGGGGCCCTGGTGGGCTTGGGCCTTAGCGTCGGTGTAGTCGAGCAGGAGCCGTTAAGACTCGGGCTTGAGCTCGCCCACGTCCCTTTCGCGCTCGCTCCGCTCTCCTCCGACCGGGCGCCGATGCTGGCGGTCCGTGCCCTCGGGAAGCCGTGGCGCGACGTGGGTGAAGTGCTTGTGCTGCTGCCTCCTCCTGGGGTCTCCGTGCGGGCTCGCCTGGAGAAGCCCACCTGGCTCGGCGGCAGGTTGGGGTGATGGCGACGGCTGGGCACGCTGATGGGATTAGAAGCAGTACCACCTCCACACGATGTCCCTACAGACTGAGATTTACTGCGCTGACGGAACTCCTCGCTCAGGGCCTTCATGGCCTCCAGCAGGGTTTCATGCATGTTCTGAGCGACAACCGAGTCATCCACCTGCATCCAGAACTCTCCGGGCCCGGTTATCGCAGAGCGACCCACCTCGATGAAGAAAAAGTTCTCCGAGTGGCCACACCTGCGAACATTCATCAGCTGCAACACCACAGATGCCACGTCGGAGTTGAGTTTGACGAAGTTGACCGTCTTGTCGGTGAGGCACAGCCGGTATATGCCCACTAAGTTCCTGGCATGTCCAAGACCTTTGGGCCAAACCTTGACCTGCCATACTTCCTTGAAGGTTGGAACAGGAGACGGCGAGCTACACTCTCCACTACTGCCATAGTCTTCGGGAGTCTTACCTAAAGAACGAAGGAGAAATAATTACTAAATGAATAATACTGAGGAAAGCAAACACATCATTAATATGAAGAAACACCCAAATGGACTATACATTTTAATTAAATGCAAAACTTGTTGAAATATTAAATAAAAACATCATGGCAAACCAGAATAGGTGACAAATGTCAAGAAATGATTTGTTCCTCTATCAATAAAAAAAACTGCTCCATGCGTCATAACTCATCAACATAACTTAAACTTAGCTCTAGAATCATTTAGGTCTTAGAAGGATTAAAATACTTTTAATAAAAATCTGTAATGCTTCATAATTAAATAATAGTTCAATAACAGAAGACATTTAAACTTTTAAACTTTAGCCTGAGCTGCATACATATATCAAACTGTATTTTGCACCTGTATATTTGCACACTTGACTGCTTTTTTTTAATCATAATTCTTTATTTATCTATCATACTATGCACTGGCAGTGCTAGTATTTTGAGTAACAGCTACTTATGCACATGGACCATCCATACCACTTTTTTTTATCCTGGCTATGTATTGTGGGCTCATGTTTTTTGTATGAGTGGGATATGTATGTATGTATGTGTTGTGTTGTGTTGTGTTTTGTATGTATACTGGCTGCTGGAACACCTAAATTTCCCTGCTGGGATGAATAAAGTATATCTTATCTTTATGTTAATTTATTGTATATCAGTCCAATGCCAATCACATTAAAGGTTTTTTTTATTTATTAAAATCTAATTAAAAAATGTGTTAACTTAATATTCAGTCCATGTCACATTTACTAAATAACTAACAGTTGTAGAGTAGTGTTTTTCTGCCTCCCTTAGTAAAACATTTCGTGTATTAAAGGCGACCCCCATAGGAATCATTATAACCTGCTGTAATTAACCATCTTCCAGTCTCCTTATTCACGTTACAGGTTCGCAATGAAATAAATTAAGCATATTGTGGCGACATCAACTTAACAAAATGGGGGTCTGTTCTCTGTTCTCTAGTGTGAATCTATTCAGGGCTCCGCTACATGAAAACAGTCAAGCTGGGCAAGCCCTACTCAGTCCCTACTAACTGAAACGAGGGGAGGAGGGGGGGTGGTGGTGGTGTTCGGCTCCAGCATAAGGATAACAACGTAAACACGAGGATACCCAACAGAAACACATTTTTTTTTTCAGTGTGAGCGCACTGACGATGCCCTCTCTTCCCTAACACAACCAGCAGCAGCAGCGGCAGCAGCAGCATCGTGCAACACAAATGTGGGTTAGACGAGCGGCAGTCAGCGCTGTGCAGAAAAACAAAAACACAGGCTTCAGCGGAGTGCACCACGATAGGCTACTACTATATGATGCATCCGTCGGATGGTTGCTATATGCCCACTGCGCCATGCAAAAATACACCGTCGTATTACATTGGCTGCATTTTAGACAGAAACGACGACCGTCTTCATGTTATTATTGCTTTAGATGCAACTTGATGCATAAAAAAAATGCAATTTGATGGCTAAAAAAAAAAAAAAAGATCCTCAGGTTATAACTGTAATGTACTGAGATTGTGCAGCACAAACACAGCACATGCCGCCCATAGCGTGTTGGTTGGTGTACCCCGTTCAGCAGGATCCACCTGCCTCTTGCTGTAAAACACCAATTTGCATCAGTGTAACTGTTTTCTCCTTTTTCCAATTAAAGGATAAAATAGACTTACATTCAAATTTCAAATAATTTGAGCAGGTGATATGCAATAAACAATCAGGACTGGCCGGGCCAAATAGTAAATGGAGAACAAACAGCCTACGGCAGGATAGGCCTGATGCAGAAACAGACACTGGGAATCACATCACATTTCTCATGTCTTACAGTTGCACTGGAGGTCCAGCATCGCTTGGTACCACTCATTCTGGATCTCCTCGCTGTCTGCAGCGATGGCAAAGCTCTCGCTGCGGGTATAAAGGACGATCATGTGCTTGTTTTTGGAATCTGCCCGCTTGTTGATGTTGAAGCATGTCTCCAGGCTCAGGACTTTTTTGGGCACAGGTGATTTACTGCGGAATTTCTTCTCGTTTTCGTAATACTCCAGCCGAGCAGGACCATGCTCCGAGGCCGCCCTCAGCACGAAGAACCGCCGGTGCATTGATTTATGCTTGCGGAGATAGCCGCTTTTCTGCACGTCTTCATAGTTCTGCGGCTCAGCTGCTTGGTTTTCCATTGCCCGGGCAGGGTGATAAATATTATAAGCCCCAAAATCGAATGAACAAATATCTAAGTTCGAGTTCTTAATCCATTGCAGCTACATCCCTCGTCCTCCCCATGTCCACATTTAAGTGTCCAGCATATGAGCGAAGAAGGCTCAGGATGGATGTATCAGCCAAACCATGTTTTGGAGCTCGTCTCATCCTCTGAATCCAGCAGCTGCAGGAGGATCCGCGCACCGAGCCGTGCACAGCGTCCACCGCTGCTCGACCCCGCAGCCCAGCCCAGTCCTGCCCGATCAGGTCCAACCACGATGCGGTTCAGCTGCTTCAGGACGTCTCCTCCACCTGTCTGAGGTTGCCCACTGTCAGTCTTACCGACCACGGTCAAGCCACGCAGAGTAATAACACAACTTCCGGCGGTGATTTTCAAAATAAGACACGTGTTGAACTGAATAAATGGTAAATGGTAAATGGACTTGAGCTTATAAAGCGCTTTTACACCGCCTGTCACACCCACCCATTCACACCCTTTCACACACTGATGGTAGTGATCGCTATGTAGTATCATCAGAAGTAACTAATCCCATTCATACACCGCCACCGAAGCAGCGGGAGCAATTCAGGGTTAAATGTCTTGCCCAAGGACACATCGGACATGTTGCTCAGCTGGGGATCGAATAACCCAAATGTCAGTCATCATTAGAAATTAAGTTAATTATTAATAAATAAGCTAAGCGCCAAATCTGCGTTTGAGAGGAGCTGCGGCTACGATCAACGATTTGTGTCCCCGTAGATACAGCCTTTATTCATGACCATTGTACACAAGATTACTGTTTATATCAGAGTATATCAACATTTTGCATTACCAGCTGCCAGGTAGGTCAGGTAGCATCGCATGACAGGTGGATGCCGCTGTAACCGTTTAAAAAGTTACCATGTTAACTGGCGACTTGCAGCCGAATGTGTCTGATTAAGACGGAAACGTTCCTAATTTATTAGGAATTTATTTTTATTATAATGTAAAAAAAACAAAAAACAACACATTGGATATGTCTTCATTAGTTAGGAAACTTTCCTTTTTAGGACTTCTGTCACATCTACGATCACCTCAGACGCTTTTGGCGGTAAGTCACCATTTAACTTGGTCACCATTTAAACCGTAACACCACCTACTGTTAGCTAGCTGAAAGAAAGCTACTAACCGGCCGGCCAATAAGTCTGCTGCGAGCTTATTTTGGCGAGTAGCCTACATTAGCTAACTAGTTAGAAAACTAGTAAACAAGTTAGTTAACTAGTTAGCTTAACATAACGAAATAATTCACGGCCACATTTTGTATCTCTAATAACTTTTTATTTTTGTCTACACCTGGATCTTTGCCTTGATGAAGATTGAGCAACTCTTCGGAAGGTCTTTGCCTCTGTGAATGTGAGTCGCCTAAATATTAACAGCATTTCGGTCACATTTCTGGCTAGTGCTAATTGAAAAACTAAAACCCTGTGTCATGAAAATGAGGCTACCCTACAGTTAACTCAAAACTATATTCTCAGAAATGTATTCGTAGATGAAGTTGTTCATTCTCCAAAGTTCAGTGGTCTGACCTTTTATGAGACTACGTGCTACTAATGAAACCATTAACATTCTTAAGCACTGCTTCATATGGTCCCAATTGTGTATTCTAATGAATGTTGTTGTAACTACTAGCAACTTTTAAATGCTTTAATTGTGAAAGCCAATGTGCTCAGTTTCTGGTCTCCCCCTGCCTCACTCTGTTTGACTTGATGCAGCTTCTGCCAGACTGGCACCTCCAAACCGGTGCCAGTCAAATGTCAGGGGAAGCTTCAGGACTGATGAGGTGCATAGGAACACGGTGTTCATCTGAGAAATACTTTGTTTGAGATCATGTGAACGATCTCACGCTGTATGTTCCTGAGATGGCTGTACAAAACATAGAGAGGACAACTGCAGTCTGCAGAACATGCTACTGCAGTGGTCCCGGCTTTTGAGGCTAATGCCTTTATATATTGTTGATGTAGTGCTTTTTAATATCAGGAAGCAATCGAAGACGATGCACATAAATCACTGGATTGATCATCTGGTCATGTTCCACACATTGCAGGCATAAAATAATAAGATCTAAAAGTTAATCTAATAATTACAAGCTTTATGAGCTTTGTAGTAATGTGAGATGCATGTAAGGCTTATTTAATGCCTTAACCTTCTAGATTATTCTTTCTTACAGCCACTCTATTCTTCACCATAGAAGGTATTCATTTACAAACTACTTTAATCACCACAAAAGTTTTATCTTTACCTTGCAATTTCACAGTTCGTGTGCCAGGTGTGGAGGAGGTCGTTGTTAATGACATATTGGGACAATAAAAAAGAATGTGGCTTTTTAAACAGCCCCAGGGGTATTTTGTATTTGAAAGAAAGGTCACACACATCAGTCAGTGCATTTAGAGTTTGGATATATCTGAACCTAAGGGCAGACTGTCCACCTATAAACCAATTGATGATCGTGCTGATCTCTTAAAATCTCTCTCTAAAATACTACTGTTAAAAGCCGATGATATTGTGGCATTTGTTTTCATCGTGTTTACAATGCTGTGGACAGTTTTACAAAGTTTGATCAGTGGCATCAGATTGCTATGAATCTTTCTCAATTCTGTTGACAAGTTTCTGTGCTTAAATAATCTAACTTAATGCAATATTTTAACAGCCCTAGATAAAAAACACATCTTGCTCTCGTTGACATTACTGCACCTCTTTAGATCTAATTGCTTTACAACTTACATAAGCTTGTTCACCGTTAATTATACTCATACTCAACTGAATATGAAACAGCTCTGGCAGAGTAAATTGTGGAAAGATCTTCATCAATCAACAACTCTGATATTGTGCAACGACAATCTAAAGGAGTGATCTTCCACAGCTACCATAGTTTTTGATCAGCATCAAATGTAGATGGTGCAGCGTCCATTCATACTGCTGTGGGGATCTACCTGCAAGATCGGTTATAGATATGTGGCATATTTAAAGGGCACAGACAAGAAGAAACTGTGAAGGAGTAGTTTGGCACAGAAATTCAGATTATCTTGACGCCTTCTCCAACTATTCAATTGTTTGGAAGTAGAAGACAAGTTACAATTACAACACAGAGAGAACCACATTTGATCATGCCATATGAAATGGCCACATCGAAGGGTTCAGCAGAAATTTCAGCAGCATGATCAGGAATGTACCCCTAAGTAGGGACACAGATGCTGCAGGCGCTGATTTTTGCTGTACAGTCCATGAGCTGACTGGTTCCGCTCCCTTACCTGATTTATGAGTGGATTTCCAGCCAGCATCACAAGACAGATTTGTGTGAGTCATTGAGGTGAGAGAGCGGGTTCTCTTGGAGGTTCCCATTTTTTAGGGTACATGGAATATAAGTTTACACCTCAGAATACAATACCATCCTGAACATCCTGAACTACCCCTTGATAATACCAAATAATACGTTTTAGAAGCCACAAACAAGTGACAGTGGTAGGTTTAAAGATTGTACTCTGAACCAGCTGTTTATGTCAGAGAAGCTGCCACAGGCTAGATATCTTCACTCTAAACCAGACAAAGACAGTAGCAGTGGAGCAGAGTCTAAGCACAGTGGAGGATGACCAAAACAAAGTGACAGTCATCCAGGAAGGAGAACCAACAGGGCAAGCTCAAAACCCAACAGACTCAGCTGGCTGGTAGCTCAGTGGGTCACATTAGGGCAAGAGTATCCAGGATTGTAAAGCCAGTTAACAGACTGATCCGGAACATGACACAGAGAAATTAAGAAGCAAGCAAACTGGTCAGTGGGGTTGCCAAAATTCCAATTACTGTATGTAGGTTATTATGTCATTAGAGAAGTCTTTAGTTGACTGTGAATGTGCAGATATTTTCAGTAGGCTCAAAATAAAGGTATTTCTTTTTTTTTTAATTATCAGTGTGACATTGTTTATAAGATATTCTTTATGGCAGATGATTGGGGTTGTGTGTATTGACTTTAACCCCATACTTTTTTTCATAAAATGAATGGGAATGCTGTTCTTTGGCATGTTGCCAGCGTACCAAAGCTGCTACAATTTGCCATCAAAGTGCCGAAAAAAGGTTTGGCAAAGTAGCCTGTCAAACTGATCACGTGGCAGAAATAAGAATTGCTTGTGAGCTGATATTGTCCTTAGGTAATGAAACCACTTGTAGATTATCCTGCTGCCAGTGTAGGAATGGCATTCTTGTTTTCTGAATACATTTTGTATGATTTCACAAAGTCCCCTTAAAAATATTATAAAAATATTTTATTCAGCGGTGGTCTTCACTAGGGAAAAGGGAAGATCTTGTGGCTTAAACCATCAAATATACTGAATATATATTAGTTTTTTTCCTGGATTTTTTAATTTCTACATTTTTGATAAATGGCTTTGATTCAACATTTTTACAAACTGCTTGCGATCATTACTGTGAGGTAAAAAGTGTAACCTGATTGCACTTCCGCTATGTGGTTGTATTATTGTCAGAAAACCCAGATTTTTCTGCAGTGTAAGAAATTGTGGCAAAATGACTTTTTAAGTACAGCATACGAAGCCTATTGCACAAGACTTGCTTTGGGCAAAGCAGGCCTTACATTTTCATGGGATTCTTCCACTAAAGAAAAAGCGGAGTCACCCCAGTCACGCTAAGAAAAAGCCAGCACAAAGCTTGTTAGCATCACTGTAACTTGCTTAGGGATTTACGTTGACGTGTCACTTTAGCAGGCTTCAATTGCCTTATTGTTCCTTCTTCATAATTGAGAGGAGATTTAATGTTGCTGATGGTTTAAGTATGTCATCCTTTTTTCCTGTTTGTAGGCCTGTGTTAAAACCTGCTTAAAACATATAGCTTATTATAATTGTTGGAATGAATCCAATTTAGAGGACATAGACCACTACTGTAGAACTTTCTAGCTATGTATGGCTTGCCCAGAATTTTCACGAGTAACTGGCCTTTACTGAACTTGTGATTTATTCATCCACTTGTTTGGAATCCAAATTAAGTATGCTGTCAGAACTTCATTTGGGAATATAGCTTCCATACAAACACTCATTGGTAGGCAAGAAGACAAACACACTCAGACACTATCTTCACTAAAACCATATTTTATTTACAGAAACACATTGAGATCACTTTCAAAATGAACAAAACAGTCCATGCAGTTTTGATGAGATCTACCTATTTGGCAAATTGATTAAAAATCTAGACAAGTAGAGCCAACCTATGTATTAAAATAACATATTTTGTTCTGAAGATACCCATCAAAATAAATTCAGACAGCTTCTCCATTTTCATCCGGATTCCTTCTTTTCCTCTTCATCCAGGATTTAATCAGTGCTTGAAGAGCCAATGCTGGTGCTAAACACCTCACCTCTAGCAGCCTGACAGTCACGTAAATGTCCTTTTTTTCTGAGCTAACTTTGAAAGTCAGTGTATGTTAGAAGTGGTCAGCAATGAACTCCCAATGAAAAATCTGTTGTTGGAGGAATATCCCATCTTGACATTGCCCTCGCATTGTTGCTTCAGTATCAGTGCTGCGGCAGTCAATGAGCAAGCCAACAGAGAGTGATTGAACAATACTTTTGCTGGTTTGTTGAATTCAGTGTGATTAAACCATTGTTTTGTTGATATCTCCTTTTGTCAGGGGTTAAGGGAATCCAAGCAGAGAAAACTTTACTAAAAAGCCCCCAACCCCGCATGACACAAAGACAAGCTATATGTACAAATTTACAATATATACAAAAGACAGATGACTCATAAGACTGTGTCCCACCTTCCTTTATGCCTGCTTACCCTAAATGTTCTCTTGCATTCAACACAGTTTCTTTGGGGTTGGGCACAAGAGGAACTTAGTAAATACTTTTCCCAGAAGACCTTAGATAAAGTCTCTTGTTTGGGGTCTTGGAGAGCCCAAAAAGAAGACAATAGCTGAAAAAGCTCAAGACACAACCAGACATGTTCTCTAGAAGATGGCAAAACACATGTAAATGCTCAATCTGCTGCAGCACACCATTGGAGATGATCATTGAAGTCACAGGTCCTCCTGTTGATGTTATATTACAACCCTGTGTAATTTCCTGTCCACCATTACAATGCAGTAGAATCCATGCAGCATGTTTCAGTAACATGTTTCATGCACTGTGGGTGAAGCTGTTGTGAACATGCCCTGCAGTTAGTGAGTAAAAAAGTTTGGGTCTTGTTTGCATGCAGTAAACGTCTTCTACAATTTGGTAGAAAATGTCAGCATGATGTTAGAAGCATTACATACAACATTAAAAACAATACATAACCTGGGTATTACCATAACATAATGAAGGTAAAAAACAAACTGTGGATGTACATAAGTCAGTCTTTTACAGGACAATAACATATCAGTCCCATTATGGCATTTCTTTTTAAAACATACATGTAATTAAATGTTGAATTTTCTGGTAATGACAATCAGAAAATTATTCTAAACTAAGTTTTAGAGCATGTGTTCATCTTTAGATACAGTTAATGAGGCTGATAAATTAGGATGAATAAATCCTTAAGAGTGGATTAGAATTTAAACCGACCCAGAAAAAATAAGTACCTTAATATATATATATATATATATATAAAAATATAGACTATGAGATGAACAAACCAGGTGCTTTGTTCAACATTTAGATCATGTCTCTTCTTAAATGAAATGTTTTAATAAAAATGCTCACACATGCTCATACAACTCAATACACGGCCGATTTTCGACCACAGATCTAAACCGTGGGTTGATGTTGAAACATCTATTGTTCCTGTCCATTATACCTGAGATGAATATAACCACTGTTGTAGTATATACCTTTGGGATAATCATGATAAAAATATATCCAATATCTATACAGAGCAAAAATATCAGTAAAATTACATACAGTACATGAAGTATTAGATGACACTGTGTCACTTATTTTTAGACACATTCATCACAAACCATTAACGGTATGGCCATTGCTGTCCTCTAATTTAAAAAAGGTTTTCTGTAAAAGACAAATGTTGAACATATTCAACACGGACAGTTACCTCTGTTTGGCTCATTTCTGTATCTCAGAGCCTCGGGGGGTTTAGAATGGCATTGATCTACCAAAGATACGAATTAAGAGAATGATAATCCCCAAGAAAAAATTACGTTAGTACAGAAACGATTTCAACATATCCAACAGATGTGATATTGCTGCTGCTTGCTTTTGTTGTATGCAGAGCACAGGTAAAGTACTCTGCAGTGAGATGTGGACCCCTCCTTTATGTTTCTCTCTGTGGGTCCTTTCTGAAAAATCTCACTTTTTATTTTGGGATTGGGGGGGGACTTGCTAGCCCATCTTCTTCTGTCGGTCCAGGAATTTTTGTCTTCTATCAGGAGGTACCTCCTCTAAACTGATTCCATGATTGCTTCCCCTGTGTAAGGAAACAACCTATGTTTTAGTTACTTGAAAGAGACACAGTTCACAAGACAACATGACATCAACACAAATCGATCATTTGATTACATTAGACTGTTGTGTGAGCTAAAATCAAACGGTATACATTTAGTGGAAAAATCACTATGATACATATGGAGAGAGAAACCACAACAGACTCTTACCCTTGAGTGTCTGGAGGAATAGGAAGAGGCTTGGTGAAATCTTCCCTCCCTACCAGCCAAAATGTGTTCTCAACACCTTTTCCCTACAAACAAACAATCATTATTCAGTATGGGGCCAAATAATATGGGTTGACTCTGAAAGTGCTTTTCAGGGTTACTTTATTTTACCTTTAACTCCGTCATGCCTCTGCATTGAATTTTGTATCCCAACTTCAGTTCATTCAGGATATCAACTGTGCTTTGATTGACATGGATTCTGTAAGCTATGATAGAAAATACAGAAAAACCATCAGCATTAGCACATATTCACTTTGCTTTGGTATTAATAGAAAAGTAAAGTCTGCTTTGGTCTTTGAACCCTTTAAAGGTTTCACATTTGTATTTTGATGACATCCAGAGCACCAAGCTGTTACTCCTGTATCATGCCACTAGGTGGCAGTAGACTTCTCAGCACTTAGTTCAACCTTACAGAAATAATACAATGTAAGATAGAATAAAACATACAGGGAATCAAACTGATTATACTATTGATGTATAAATGTGAATACTTTGACTTCTGAACTAAGTACTCGACTCTGTAACCCATTTAAACGGCTTTATTTTTCTATTTATTTTATCCAATATTTAGACTCGTGCAAAAACTGAAGAATAATACCTATTCACTTTGAGTTGGCTGGTAATAAAAAAGAGTTTTGTGGGCTTTATGTTGTGGGCGATCACTGTTTAAACAAGCATTCTTTTTACAAATCTAGAAAACGTTTATTTGATATTATTATCATGGACTTATCAAATCTAGTGTTGGCTAGTGTCAAGCTTCAGTTAGCTTATCAAGGTGTCACTTTTTTATCTATTTGTAATATTGTGTTTGACTGTACAGTACTTGTATGTCTTGTTTTTTTTTAACAAGATCAATATGCTCTTCTGGTTGCTCTATGAAGTGTTAGTATTCTACTCAGATCATGAGAAAAGTGTGTTTCTTTTTGTTTTCTGACTTAATTCTTGATATTACCAGCACGCAGAGGATCCTGAGGCAAACTTGGTCATTGACGACATTTGACTGAAACTTCAAATTGGCCTCTAACTCTGCTGATAGCCTTAAAGGATTAGTGAGGACTGTACACTTAAAGCCCTGTTTAGCCTCAGGCAGCATGCACACTAAATAACCTGACCTCCCAATGACTGTCAAAAAGTGATAAAAAGGAAGAATATAGTCTCTAAAAATGATATATGAGACACTCACGCAACCCTGTGGACTCCATTCGAGATGCTGTGTTGACAGTGTCTCCAAACAGACAATACCTTGGCATCGTAAGACCCACCACTCCTGCCACCACGGGACCTGAAAACATAGTGTGCAAGAACACACATAGATACACACAAAGGTTAATTGAGTTTTGGTTATTACAATTCCTCTTGGCAAGTAAAATCTTAACACTCTGAAGACTCAATTTTTAATATATTTTTTTTGTTCTACACTTTTTTTAAAGGCTTACATCCTGTTACTTTTTTATGGTTCAATAAAAGTATTGGTTATTATTCAAGCACGTATTGAACTACCTGGTCCATGTGCAAACAGAAAATCATAGAATAGTTAGAAATCCAAGGTATGCAGTGTGTTAATTGGATGACAGAACTCTAAGTGGATAGCGTTTCACTGTTCCAGGAATAAGTTCCAGACGGGGATAAAGGCGTTAAAAATATCTCCCTGCCTTAGCGGCTTGTCTTTCCGTATTCTTATTCCACTGCAACACACTTGCTTTTACTTACTCTGAAATAGAGTTCAGATTGATTTCATACCACATGACTTATTACACATGTAACCATGTTACTGTGTGCACTAGTTAGAGCAGCGTTTATCCCATCATTGGACTGATGAACACTCACCGGAGTGCAGGCCGATGCGGATCCTGACTTTCAGTTCAGGCATGTGCCTCATCTTGAAGGTCCCGATGCAGTGGAGGATGTCCAGAGACATGTTAGCCATCTCAGCAGCATGACGGTTGCCGTTTCTATTGGGGACTCCTGAGGCCACCATGTAGGCATCTCCAATAGTTTCCACCTAAAGGCCATAGAAATAACAAGGTTATAACAAAAACGCGAACATACAAAGTGATATACGTACTTGATGTGATCTGAAAAACCAATGCAAAGTTTCAAAGTACAGGCTATCAATAAATAAAGGAACTTTTAAGTAGTATGTTTATGTTATAGCTAGAATGATGTATTGATACGGGTCGTACCGTACCATGCTGTCTCTACCTTGCCGTATCATATCTTATCGTATCCCATGTCATGTCATAATGTATTCTATAATATCACATTGTATCACGCATACAATCTAATTATTTTACATAAAATAACCTATATGTTTGTAGTAAAAAAGACAAATTTTTAAGAATTTTGTTAAAAATGGACACCAGAATGAGAGGTTCCCCAACACTCACCTTGTAGACATCATGCAGTCCAATGATGGCATCAAAAAGTGTGTAGAGGTCGTTGAGTAAGTCGACCACCTCGATGGGTTCACTGAGAGCCGAGATGGTGGTGAAGCCCACGATGTCACTGAAGTATAGCGTTACCTCGCCGAAGTGCTCTGGCTTGACTGGCTTACCTGTCTTCAGCGATTGAGCCACAGACCTGTAGGACAGAGATGATGAGTGGAAGACAACTCTTTCTCAGCACACAGACTTTTACAGATATTTGACGAATGTCAGATGACTCTGAAAACATGAATGAGATACAGGACGTTGTGTGATGATGAGATGCAGCATAGTGAGTTATATTTTGAAAACATATGTAGCCTCATTGATTCCCAATGCTTTAACACCATTAAAGAGAAACAGACTTTCTTTTAAAAAATCATCTAGAAGGACATTGTAATAAATATATCTGCTGGTTCATTCTGAGTGTTGCGTTTGATACAATAATAGGCCTAAACCTACTGTTCTTAAGAGCACATTCAAACAGAGTTTACTTAACTGTTTTGACAGACAAATCAAAGGAAACCTAGTAATGTTGTGTTATTTATGAAAAGCATAAAATAATTAGAACAACCAAGCAAACAAAAATGGAAAATATGGAAATGGTAATAATGTTTTCAAGAGTGATGATTTCTTTATACAAGCTTGATCACAGCCATATAATTGCTTGTGGTACTAATCATTCCCACAGTTGATTAATGCTGCAATACTACTGCAATTGCTATGGTGTCCAAGCTTAACTAAGAACCAGCTTCTGGGGTGGTGTCTCTGGCCTTTGACGTACTTTAGGATGTAAAATAGCCCCATTTAAGTGTCATTTTCTATCGTAGTAACTGAGTAGTGCTAACTCTGGGCTGGCCTGCAGAGGCTGTGACTTACAGCTTTGACACAACCATTTTAATAAGTCTTTACTGTGTCATTTAAGGTTGCTGGACACTCACTTTGGTAACATCTGTGCCACCAGTTTGTCAGTCTTCTGTCTCTCCACCTCCAGCTCCTCTGTCCTCTCTCTAATCAGATCTTCCAGGTTGGAGGAGTACTGTTCTAACATGCGCAGCATAGAGTCAATGATGTTGGTCTTCTTTCCCTTTGTGATGCTCTTAAACTGTCACACGGAAAGGAGAGAATAGGGATGTCATCACCAGCTTGTCTCTTGTATAGCAATGTAAAAAGTTGGATCTGATCTAGAGCGTTTGTTTCTACCTGTTTGAAGATTTCCTCGAAGGTAGGCCTCTTGTCTGGCTCTTCACTCCAGGCCTGTTTCAAAACTTGTATTACATCCAGCGGAGCCTCATCCACTGACAGAGTTGGCCGACACAAAGGAGGAGGGTCTTTGACCTTGTTGATGATCTCTGTAATCACACATACATTCAAGACATGAACACGCAGAAGTTAGGAACACACACAATTATTTACAATTTACTTTAAGCTCTGCTTTAACAGTTTTTGTATAAAGTGAGTGACAAAAATGGTTGTGCAAGTCATTGCCCTTATACTCAAAAAAATCAGATAATCTATTCAAATAGAAAGCAGATTTAACGAATGAAAAGTGTTTTGCACATTGCTTCAATTCCTAGTTTTTCCTGTCATGCTACTTTCTTCCGAGGTGACTAATGCTATGTCAATTACCCTTTGGTGGCATGTCCAGCATGCAGAAAGGTGCAGAGCGAGAGATGACTTCTTGTGAGACAATGGCGAAGCTGTAGACATCTCCCGAGAAAGTGCCCCGCCTCCTTTGGCTAGAACTTCGCAGCAGCTCTGGAGCCGTCCATAGTAGCTCTTCATTGGAAAAAAAAGATATGCAACGATAAACAAACAAGCGACATGTACAAGAAAACTCAGAATCAATTTGTAGATGCTTATTAACTCACCCTCTGGCTTTTCGTCGTCATTGTCAATGCTTTGGGCGATTAATATTTCATTGAACCCGTAATCTGTCACCTTTAATACAAAGCGACCATCTACGACACAGTTACGGGATTTGAGGCGTCCATGGATGACGTCACGATGGTGCAGGTACTTCATTCCCTGTAGGACAATTTTTTTTTAAAGGTTTAAGTGATGAAAAATCATAAAAAGATGGGAAATTAAACTATTTTCTTGACTCTTACTCGTATCAGATCCATTAGCAGGGACGACTTGAACATCCAGTCAAGACGCACTTCATCGTTGCTGAGCAGATCTTCCAAGCTGCCCCTGGTGCAATGCTCAGTCACAATGCCAAAGATCCCAGAGTCAAAGAACAGGCCCAGGAACAGATTCAGGTTTTCATGCCTCATGTCTCTTAGCTGATAGGAAGCGAAAAGGAAACATCAAGGCTGTGAACTGCAAGGTTTGATTCATGGATGTTTCTTTGTTTTGCAAGACGATGATGAGGAAAACTCATCTTATTATTTTACGCTTAATTATTCAGCTGAAGGCGATGATTATCAGATCTGTCTCAACACATTGAAGCATCAGCAGAGTATATGTAAAGTCTCAAGGCTCCAACTTAGTTATATCTTTCATTAAAGAAATTGCTCTTTGTAAAACATTCTCAATCAAAACCTGCGGCACCCCCAAATCCTTCAACCAGATGCGGCTCCTGTCCCAGCAGATAAATGAGAACAAATAGTCTTTAACTAAGGAAATCTTGCATGCAAGATTCCCAGAATCCACCAACTGCAACTTCTCAACCAAACATAGGACCAATCAGATTGGTATTTTATTTATTTACAGTATGTGTTAACATGGATATACAGTAACATTGGTTCTGTAACATTTAAACAAGTCCCAGGTGCAATTGCTCTTAGTGTTTATAGCAAAATGCTAATTTGCAACACCAATCAGATTTTGCATTGGCTGTGGCACTTGTCAGTTCTTTAGCTATGAATTCAGATTGCAGGATATTAAGAGACATTTTTTACATAATGAGTGACATCCTCAGACATTGACTCACCCTAACAAAGACATACTCCGTGCTATTGTTGACACTTGATACAGATCCATTGGGGCATTTCTTCAACCAAACCCAGTCCCCCTAGGATATACACAGAACAAAGCTGTAATTGAAGCCAATACTCGAGGCATGAGCAACAAAATGGAAAACAGAAGATTACTGAAGGTGTCAGGGCAAACTAGCCTCACCTCGAACACAGCAACATTTGAGCTGTCAGGTGTTGAGGCCATATAGCTGCGACCGGATACTGAGTGGTGTGGTGTCTTCATATCAAGCTGGCTTTTCATGATGCTATCGTCATTGAGCTTCTGCTCACACACACAGTAAAAAGAGGACAAGGTAAAGACAGCATACAATCATTCACAGAACAAATAGAGGCAAAAGAAAATATACAGTTGGTATTGTTAGATTTAGCCCTGTACTAACCCGTTTGCTGACTTGAGTGTTGATGAAGACTAGGTCGTCAAGGGTCAGGACTACCTTTGATGATCCACTGCTACCCCCAAAGCTAAACCCAACCCTGCCCATTTTCCTGGACAGACACAAAGACAAACCATCACAATTCAATTTTCTTGAAAAATCACGTAAACTGCTCTTGGATTACATTTCAACTTGATTCTCAACTGTACACACTTGTAACGCATAAAGACGTTCATTCCACATCCGGACAATGCAATGAATATGAGGAAAAGAAAGAGGAGAGTGACTGTATCCATGCCTTAGGGAGAGACAGAAGAGAAGAAAAAACACAAAGACAGTTTAAATGCTCTGAATGTGCACTGTATCAACTCATAATTTCTGTGAGGACAATCATTTTGCACTTACCTCCACTGCAGGCAAAGTATGGGCTAAACCAGCAGCCTGAGTCTGTGTAGGGCGTGCTACCTGCAAAATGAATCGAACGGCTGAGGTATTTCAAACTGCCCACCCCGCCGTCTGTGTGCATGGCCTGTAGAGAGTGAGTGGAATAGAGAAAGGAGCCAATGCCACTGTAGTCCAGGACGACATAGTTAGCCTGCATGCCTTCACCGTCTTTGCCAGCCCTCAATGGCTGATTGAAGCCTTGAAATTCTATGTTGCCCCTGCTTTCACCCAGGATGTGACCAGTTACCCAGCGACCTCCACTTTCGCGGGCTTGCTCAGTAGCCATAGCTGTGTAGTACATCATGTTGTAGATTGAGCCAAAAAATGGTGAAACCTGACAGATAGAAAAAAAAAAGACAGTGAGTTTAAATAAGCTTAGTTTTTTATCTTTCTTTTTTTGTAATTTTTAGAAGATATTATTTGGGCCATTGTTTCCCCTATTGGAATGGACAGCTGAAGATAGAAAGGAAATGCCAGGAGGAAGAAGGCAGCAAACGTCAGAGGCTGGACCAGAACCCACAGCTTCTGAATCAAGGACCAAATTCTCCGCACACAGGAGGCACACGACACGCAGGCCAGCCAACACCCCTGAATTATTTTAATCTTTCTTCTACATTTCTTATATTGCTTGTAGAGAATTGTACCTGCTCTGGTGTGGTGCTGCTACGGATTTCATAGCTGTCTTGGGCATCTCTGAAGGCCTCGTAGAAATTGCGCTCTCCAGAGTCCATAGTGATGGTAAGGACTCCGTCATAGGCTTTCCTTAGCTTGGTGTCATTGCCAAGCATATAGTAGGGTGAGTCCTTGTAGGGTAATGCATAGAGTAGGGTGTCATAAGGGATGAACACGTAGCCACGGTCGATCATACGCATATCCAAGGCCGTTGTCAATAGTTGGTACTGGGCTTGTCCACCAATCAGGACAGAGGGCATGCACATGATGATCACTGTGGAGATAGGAAGGTTAAAAACAAAGTTATTTACATGATTTTTATTTAATAAAACAGTTTAGAGATTGCTATATGTCATAAATGTTTTCAAAGGTTTTTACGTCTTTGATTTACCTCTGACCCGGTCTGCATCTCTAATTTTTGACAGGGCTCTCCTAGGCCCATCTTTGTCATCCTCCATGGTGACCACAGGGCTCACAGGCAGGCCAAGGGCCCTCAGTGATGAGGCCAGCTCCTGTCCTGTGGATTCCCACAAGTCTGTCTCCTCTGAGATGATGGCCACATGAGCCCAACGAAAGTAGCGCAAGACTGAGAAAAGTACATGCGAGGACAAAGGTAGCGGCCGCAGGTAGGTGGGATACATGCCTCCTTTTTCCATGTTGGGCTTGAGGCAACCCCAGGAAAGAATCCCAACATCCCACTCTTTTGCATACAAAGCAGCTGAGGAGCAGTAGCCTGGGTTGGCCGGACCAAGGATGGCAGCACCATAACCTTCCAGTTCGGCAAATCGAGCAAGTGCTCGGGATGACTTGCAGTCTTCGCTGATCAGTGTGTAGTCATACCAGTAGCCTTTGTTGAGGTAGGGGTCCTTGTTTATGCGGGCAGTGGCTAGTCGCGCTGCAAGATCAGGAAGGGCTTTGGAGTACAAGAGGTCACACGTCCAGGGTCCAACCAGGGCTATCTTGAAAGTGGCTGCCCAGGCTTGACAGGGAAGAAACGAGACCATGAGTAAGGGAAGAAGAAACCAGATTGGCCGGTAGCTCCTGTAGCGTTGCGCAGGGGAACATGGCAACTGTGGTTTTGATGACAAAGATTCTAATGATTTAAACTGACTATGTTCATTGCAAATGTTTGAAGCCACTGTCCGCATATGCCTTTTTCTTTTCACTTTTAATGAGTTATGCTGCCATCGTGGGTGGTAGGAAAGGTTGTGCAGAAAGCGAGGGTCTCGATGATTGGCCATTTTCTCACACACAAGTATTCTGATGCCTCGCCACAGAAAAGGAGTGGAGACTTTATGGTGATTAGTGTGACAGGGACTGTGCCTTTGTGGGTGGCACTCTAGGCACTAATCTGCACTCCTCTAGTCCAAAGCTGGACAGGTGATGAGAAGACCCCAAGCCATCACTGCCTCCAGAAAATGAGAGGAAAAAGGAGAAATGAGTTAGATTTTTTTTTTATTAAGAAATACACTTCTGTCAGTTGCTTTTCTCAAATTCTAAGATACAAACAAGCATTCAAAAATAATAATAATTCTGTCAGGTACAATTCTGTCACTGGTTGAGAGAAGCTTAAATCCATAAGAAGTTCACAACCAAGTTGTTGAAATCTCTCTGAGCAGAGGGAGTTTCTGGTCAATATTGAATATTCAAACATTACAGAAAAGAACAGACTATATACGAGTTGTTGGTGGGGATAAGAACAAACAAACAACCAAAACCGAAAAGGTAAAGATCACTTCTTGAGGTCCTTACAGTGGGCTACACACCTGCACTAAAAAGGTACTCCAGGTTTTCTTGGTAAACTTTAAGCATTGTTTTGCACTGAATTAATAAAGGTAGCTTATATAACAAACTTAATATACATCGTGTTTCTGATCTGAATTTCCAAGACTTATAGGTAAATAATATTTAAAACATTTGAATAAAATAAGAATTCAACTATTATTATTATTATTATTATTATTAATATTATTAACAAAGTTAGCAAATAAAGCATTATTATCTAAGGTTTTTTTGTTCCCACGCAAGGCTACCTCAGGTCTTGAACAGTCCTCAGGACACAGTCATGATCTCTGACCTGACCTTGCACCATCCTGAGCTGTTTCACTTCACAGAATGTGATGTTGAATCTTATCAGCATCCATCTGTCTCACATAAGACATGGTGATCAGAGTTCCAATGCAATTCCTCGAAGAATTAGTGCCATGTGTGTGGCAAGCTGATTAGCTCTGCCGAGGCCAGGGAGTTTAACAAATCAAGTGCCAGGTAACGTGGGGCTAAATCTGGACTTGATGTTTTAATTTGGTCTTGGTATCTGTTTTGACTTCTTAGTCAAGCTCTTCACATCTTCTCAGCCATCCATTTCTGGAAGATTTCTCTTCTTTAACACCAGTTAACCCTAAGATTCCTGAAACTAGCATCTAAATTTGTACTAGTTGCTGCTGGGGCTTTCTCAAGATTAAGTGACCACTATAGGTCCAAACAACATCATGTGTGATGGAGCTCATGCTGGAGTTTCAGGACTATCAGGCCCTATTTATCTTTAAACTTAAACATTTATTTAGAGAGACATTATGGCTGGGAGACTGTTACACATAAAATGATCGTGATCCACAGTGAAGCTTAGAATTTAGAGGAAAGCCCTACCGTTAAATCTTGTTTGTGACTTATAGACTTGCTAATATTGTGTTTAAAGACCCACACGCTCTTTAAAAATGGCTGCCAAGGAAATTTGTGCAAAGGGCCTCAACAACATGTCAGTGGTGAGGAGTATTTGATGACCGCTCGATCTGTGTAGAGTCATTTATTTTGAAAGGGAACAAAATCCAACAAAAAGTATTGGTGAATCCAAATCATTAAGCCGAGCAGTTTCTATGTTTTTTAATACAGCTCGACTGACATGAGAGTTCACCAGGGCTGGTAGTTGTACTTTAGAATAAGAAAATATTTGTTTTGGCTGGTGGAGTGGAATTTTTTTTTACCTGGATACAAAGGAAAGTCTAATGATCATGATACAGATCACTTTCATTATCTTATTTTCCTTTTTATTTAAAGGGTTGTTGCAAATACACTTTAATTTGGACATTGCTTAGTCAACTACAATTTTTAGTGCTTTTTAGTTTATACACTATGTAATATTTACACTGTGACGAATAATTCAACCTCAATTTGTATTTTCTCTTCCTTACTTTGAAAAATACATGAACGCATGCATGCTTGGAAACAGCCAGTATACAGTATATGTGCCTCACTTTTTGTGCTCAAGTTTTGATTGGCACGTCTAAGATGAGGCCTACCCTGAATGAAATTCTGAACGTGAACTAGCCGTTACAATCAGGGGTTAAAAACGGACATTTAAAAAGCATAAAATCCCAGAGAGTGATGTCTCTTCCTGTCTTAAAGCGGAAATGCAGCCAGCGACCAAGGTGACCAGCAAGCCCTCCAGAGTGACTAATACATACAGTACATTGGCTTACCAGTTGCTAATAGATTAAGAGGAGCGCTAACTAATATTCAAGCCTCGTTTAGAAGTGCGACTGAAAATAAGAAGTGGGTTAAATCAGTGGGTTAAATCATACTATTCACTTAAAGCTAATTACATTTAACATGAACAGCATTTTTTAAGGGTTTTAAGTAACTTTTGTAAGCATTAAACAATCATTGGTGTTAGAACAGTGTCCCCCTGACTGGAGTAGCTCTGCTGCAAACAGATAAAACAATGCTTAAATGACATGACACAATTGATAAAATGTTCTTCTTACTAATAATTTATCTATATTATGGTAAATCAATGGAAGACAATTGAAGGAAACAGATTATATAAGAGACAACTCTGACCTGGAGCATTTTTTCTATAGGAGCCATGTCAGCATCGGAGCCTGTTGTTGAATAGCACCATCCAAGTTCCAGGTGGATTAAGCAAACAGAAGTTTACAGCAGGAACAGTTACCTTTGTCCTTTTGTTTGACAAATATATCATATGTAATCCAAATGTGGCATGAAAAGGAATAAAAAAAGGAAAAAGAATCACATTATTTCCTCTCGTATCGAAGTTCCTTGAAGAATATATCAAAAAGGAAAAACGTCTCCAGCAGGTTAGTCTCGCTTAAGTTCTTGCTGTCCTTGTTTTGGACTGGGACCCACCCCAAACCACAGAGCAAGGGACGATGTGTGAGTAGAGCGGGGATGGTAATTGAGGGTCTGGATTGGTAAAAATAAAACATAGATTGGCAGAGAGCTGGGGAAAGGTAACGGGTAAAAGAACGGGAAGAGTGGGAAGGACCGGCAAGCTTTGACTCCTCAGCCCTCTTTAGCTTTTAATCCATACTAGTGTGGGAAGAGTGTGTGGGGGGAGGGCCAGAGGAGATGGAAAAGAAGGTGAAAGTAGAGGTCTATCTTGTACACCTAGGTGCTGAAGTAGCTGGACATTCAAAGCTGTTTTAAACTAAAACACCTCTTGAGCTTGGCTAGACTTATTTGATCGATACATTTCGATAGCCAGGATAGTTTGGGCGGATCTACTGTCCCTCCTACAACCTTAATTGAAATCAAAAGGAGGAGGAACGACCTAGAACAGCTGTTAAATGATAGATACATTCATCAGATCACTCACCTGACATCTTATTTGTGAGGTGAAGAGCACCCTGAAAAAGGTACATGATCTTGTTAAGGATCTCATCACTCGATTGTTGCAGTAAGGTTGAAGCTTTTTGTTCCAGAGCTGGGACACTTGACTCATCAAAATCACCGAAATTTGCCTTTATAGAAGTCTCACTTTAAGGCCATATTTCTTTTCAGTGTCTTCTCATTCAGAGCAGAACAAAGAAAGCCTTTTGCTATGTTAATACTTGCATACTCATCACTGATACTTTGAATTATAGAACTGCTTGCAGCCACTGGGGGCTTGAAGCTGGTGCAGTCATTATGAAACTTGTGTTCGTAGCCTCATATAACCCTGCTGCTGCACTTCAAATCGTGAGACCTTAACTCAGGCTCTCCCTCTAGTCATACTACTGCAGATAAAGATGCCAATTGAAATGAAGCACAGCTAAAAACCCTCCTGTTCACGCTTGTAAAATGAGTACCGTGTCCAATAATTTGACCAGCTGAAATACAAGAAAAGGGAACATGCCAAATGAAGTCGCTGATAGATTCATAAATTGTGCTGATGTAGCTTTATTATGAACTGTTTCTGACACGTCGTATGATGTGGACTTCATACTGACATCTTTGTGACCTCCCTCTCTTCCTTGAGGTCATGCATCATATTATGTACAGGTCACAGCCTCAGTGCAAAGGTCACAGTGAGCATTTTACATACGGAGAAATGCTAATAAAAGCGTAAGAAGTATGTGAGCTGTGGGCAGAAAATAACTTCAGGTAAGCCATTGAAAGTCTGCCGTGGCTCTTTTGACCTGGCAGCATGTACAGCTGGAATTTAAGCCTGTCGAGACTAGGCTGGCTGGGTGGGTCGGTGGGTGGCTAATCTGAGCGATAGATGAAATATTACAAAATTAGATTTAATATGCAACAATTACAACACAGTATATGAATATGGCAAAGCTCCTGCGTGGCTCTATGAGGGGCGACGCAGGGTCCCCTATGTGTGGAAGCATGATGATGTGTTTGTTCTTGTTTGCCCTGCCTTGCAGATTGATAGCAGCCTTGTTGAAGTAATCAGATTAGACAGGTGAGGCTGTGCTAAACTGATCCGCTGCCTGCAAGCCTCTTAGTGACATGACTAACGGCACTGACAGAGATCACTTCAAAGCAAGGTCAGACACACAGCCAGCCCGGTTGAGCACAGAACAAGCTTGGCCGACTGCAGAGGCAGCATCCCCGCTCTGCGCAACACTGACAGGAGAATACATACACTTTTGACCTGTGATGTTCTTATTATAGTAAGCCCTGGTTATCCCCGTTTTGGTGTCCTGCCTTAAGCAAGATCAGCCATTTAGACAGAACATGTAAGGTATCGCACAGTATTTGTGGTAGAATTGTACTTGACATATGAAACATTAATGGCATCTAAATCTTTAACAAATGTGTGAGGCTGGCAAGCGCACGGTCACATGACTTTCAAAGCTGTCCTGTGATTTCTCTGAGTCAGAAGTACATCTCTCTTGGAGTGCTTTACTTTCTTTAGTGAAGCTTTTTGTCAACGTTAATTAATCAGGTCCTGAGCAGAAAAAAAAACGAAAAAAAAAAAAACAGGTGGGAGGAGCGATAGAGAAGCTTAGAC